AAGACTTTAAGACCTTAAATACATAATACTCTGGCCATGAAGAAAACTCTACTTTTAGAGCATGCTATATTGTTAAGCTAGATGTTCTTTACAGAATGTTAGACCTGGAAGGAACCATTGTCTCCCTTAACTGTCCCCACACAGCTCTCTGGTAGATATTATTATCACCATTTTACAGATGGTGAAACAGACTCAGAGGATTAAGGAGAGTTCATCAAGTGCATTAGTCAGAGTGAGCTGGGTTATCCTGTGGTAACAAACAATCCTAAAATCCCAGTGCCTTAACATATGTGTCTGTGTGTGTATTCTTGCTCACAGGGTGTGTCAACGTGAGTTGTGAGGGAGCTGTGCCCTATGCAATCCTTGGGACACAGGAAATGGAGTTTCTGCCACCTTGTAGCCACAGCACTGGAAGCACACATCCTTCTCAGTCACGATGGCAGGAGGCGAGAGAGACCGGCGATCAAAACATGTCTGCCTGCATGTGACACAAGTGACTTCCACTCACCGCCCGTTGGCAGAGTTGGCCACATGGCCTGATCCCCCCAGCTGTGGGTGGGAAGGACAGATCTCTGAGTGTGCTGTGAGGCTGTGTGAGGAGTAAGGCTGTGACGTCCACGCAGCAGCCGAGCTGGATCTAGAACAAGTTGTGTGAGTTTCCTTTCAGAGCTCCTGTTCAGAAGTCAGAGTAGAAGGCTTAAAGTAAAAACTGGGTCTAATCCAACTACCCTGGGTCAGTCGCTTTTTCTATCTGACACTCAGTTTGCTCATTTGTAAATAGGAATAATAAGATTTACCTCAAGGCTAGTTATGAGGATTCCAGGAGATAACGAACATTAAGTACTCAGCAAAGTACCCAGTACATAGTAAGCACTCATTATATTGTTGCTGTTGGGGTCGTAGTTTTCAAGCCATATAATGCCACTGTGCCCTGTGCTTTGACGTCAGGTAATCGAAACACCTCTCTCCTCTCTGGATCTCAGACTTTGTCAGTGACCCTCCAATGACGACCAGTGTTGGAGATGGCGATTCATTACTCAGACACCGAGAAAAACCTTATCGCGGATCCAGTAACGAGTTTGGGTTCTTTCATGAACTCGTTATTTCACCCGTCAATTCAGTAAACATTTCTCGAGCACTCCTCTGCGTGAGGCACTGTTCTCTGTGCCAGGGACACAGTGGCAGAGAAAAGAAACAGGAGTCCTGCCCTCATGCAGGGCGCTGACAGTCTTAGAAGGAACGTAAAGGCACCTCATGGGTCTTTGGAAATACGTAGGAATGGAAAGCCCCCTTGCACGAAGGAACTTGGAAGCTCTTGGGCACACTGTCACCATATCCTGTATCCACACCAAGAGCAGAGCTTTGGGCACATTGGATTTGAGTCGTCTCTAAAGGTAAAAGCAGGTTACCCTGAGTCCCACTGCAGGGAGCTAACTGCCGAGCCCCTTAGGAAGCCTCCCCCCTCCTCTGATTTCTTCCACCAGTCACAGCCAAGCCTCTAAAAGAGAGCTACCCTCTCTCTTAAGCCGCCCTCCTTACCACATTCACTTAATGTGATAAGTCCTACAAATGACATAGAAGTAATAAATCGTGGCACCTTCTCAGAGGCCTCAGTGAATTGTGGCCGTCTGTTTCCCAGGTTGGGTTTTCTTGGTCACAACCCTGAGGCGCTTCTGTTCCCTCTCGATCATGTAACTTCCCCCAGCTCTTGCGTGTTACCCCCATCCCAGTGTTGTGCACGTGTGCTCTGGGGCTCGGTCTCTTTCATTCTCTTTTGAGCGTGCCTTCATTAATACAATGGCCAGAAATCTATTCACCACCTGGCTCATGGCAATGGTGGTCTAGTCTGAGCAGCAGCTTCCCAAAGTGTCCGACTGCTCGCTGACCATCTGACAGCCATGGCCTCCTTGCCACGTGGGACTCTGGAGTCATCTCTGAGAGTCAGTCTAGAGCCTGTTCACCTTCCCCAGTGATTCTGTGAGCCATTTAATGTCCTGTGAGAAATGCCTTTCTGCTCAAACTACTGAGAGCGGATTCTGTTCTGTAATTGAACCCTAACCAATACAGTGATTGGTAACAGGAAGGGTTGCAGAACTCCTTGGGATCCTTAGGAACGAAAATCAAAGATCTGTTATCTCTGTAGTTTTACAACTCCTGGGTCCAAGTGGTGCACGATCATTCTAAAGAAATCCATTTGCACAGCCTCACCTTCCATATACACTTTTGCCCAAGGACGTGTTTGAATGCACAATCACCCTTCACCCAGTTTATAACAGAAAGCAATAGCCCTCAGCCCTCCCAGACTTACTCAGGTGATTGCTCTGGGCTTAGAAACCTTCAAAAGGCAAACACAGGGAAAGCTTTTCCTGATAACTAACCAAGACACCATAAAGCCTCCTGCCCTCCCATCTTTCCCTGTCTCGTGTGACTTTCTATTTAGGGTAAGGTTTGACTGCAGGAACTGAATATTTTGGTCTGTGTTGGGATGTCCTGAATTCAGATGCGTGATAAAGTGGGGTGGTGAGACATGTATGGAGACAGATAAGAACTAGACTATTGGTGGTGAACACGATCCAGTCTATACAGAAACTGAAATATAGTGATGTACACTTGAAATTTATACAGTGTTATAAGCCAATATGACCTCAATAAAATAATTAAATTTTAAAAAGTGGGGTACTGAGAGTAATGACAAGTTTTGTTTAACAACTTCATCTCCTACATCCTTGGACCACTGTCAAACAATGCACCTTTTGGAGAGAGAGTCCTTGAGAGAAAAAGAAAGAGAATTTGAGTAAAAAGTACTATGTGATTTGTGGAACAGAATTAAGAATGAGTTGGAAGAACTGACTGATATTTCTGTAATAAAACCTTTTCCACCCCTATCAGCTTAATTTTGTGATCAGGGTTTTCTAGCAGTTACAGCTACAAAGCACAAGAAGTAGGAAAAGAATTGATGCAGAGAGTTGATCTTAAGCATTCTCATCACAAAAAAAAGAAAAGAGAAAAAGAGTTAACTATGTAAGGTGCTGGATGTGTTAATTATCTTGATCTTGGTAATCGTTCCACAATCTAAATGTATATCAAATCATCATATTGTATGCTTATATATAATTGTATTTGTCAATTATTCCTCAATAAAGTTTAAAAAAATGAATTGATGCAGAACTATGTTGCATTCTGGCAGTGGCATATTCATCCCATTACATAAAGAAAGGAGAAAAAATCACGTAAGTGATGCTTTTCTAATAAAATTTTGCTCCTTGTGTTTAATGATTTATCAATATTTATAATAGATTTATGTTGTTTTCATTAGTTGTATATGATAGCAATAATTGTAATGATGACCCAATTTAGAAAATATTTTAAACTCCTAAAGTCTTTTGGTCACAGGAAATTAAAGAACATTGTAAAATCTCAGTTTACATAGATTTTCATTTGCAGAAAAGGGTAATCAATAAGTTTTTAAAGCATAAAAATATATTTCAGGTACAACATGGATGAACATAAAAATATTATGCTAACTGAAGGAAGCCAGTCACAAAGGACCACATACTGTATGACTTCATGTATGTGAAATGTCCAGAACAGGCAACTCTACAGAGACAAAAAGTAGACTAGTGGTCCTGAGAGCGTGGGGGAGGGGGCAGGATGGAGGAATTGGGGGTGACAGCTAAGAGGTTCAAGACTCGTTTTGAAATGAAAATTTCTAAAATTGATTGCAGTCATGCATGCACAACTCTGTGATATATTAAAAGCCATTGAATTGTACACTTGAAATGCAGGAATTGTACAACATGTGAATTATATCTCAATAAGGTGTTAAAAATACCAAGATATATATATATATTACACTATGATAGAATTCCAAGGAGAAAGTGAAATGAAATAGATACTTCAAACAGTAAAAGGAAAAACAAAATTTTCAAGTGTTAAAGATGAGATTGTTCAAATATTTTTAAAATGAATAATGGTCAATAGCATGTTGTTATTGTGTTTAAATTCCATGGATACTTAGTTACATAATGGTTTTATCATAAAATATCACTACTTCAGAGGCAAATTCACCCTGAAGCTAATTAAGCCTAATGTTCGGAGTCTCTCAGTAGTACAGGTCACTTCCAAGGCCTGAAAATGGCCCTTCTGGGTCACATATTTTAGTAAAATTTGCAAGTATTATAGCAAAAAAAAAAAAGTAAGACCTTTTAACCATAGCGGGTTAATATCTCTGTCTGCACTCTCGTTTGTCTTACTCCTCCTCTTGAGAGGTGGCCCTCGAAAGGACACAGGCAGTTTTGAAATTCCACTGATTGAATCGGGATAAATTTAGTTTCAGTTTAATAGGATGTATTGATTGGTTTGCGGTCACTTCCACATCCTGTTAAGCTACTTCTAGGCACATTGGGGTATGAGTGACTTCTAGAAATATCCCATCTGCCCATCAGGCTGAGGGCCAGAAGTCATGGTGAGGTACCGACTTCCCGTGGTGCCCAGTACCGTAAGTGTGTGATTTCAAGAGAGGATTATGACTGAACTAGAACATAGAACTTCTGTGAGGAAAGTGTGCTGACCTTTAACCACTAGGCCCTCAGGGCTGGCCCCTTTTCTTGCCCCTTCCGCTGGACCAGCTGGCCCGTGGGACGCAGGAATCCCGAGCGTTCGTTGGGGTTATAAGGCATCTCCAGGTGCATCTGCTCTGCCCTGCGCTCACCCTCCCTTCCACGGGAGTCAGGGGCAAGTGTCGCTGTGAGTGAGCTGGTGGAGGCCCCATACTGGTTACTGGGGAACCATGGGCTCCAGACTCAGATTCCTGGGTTCAAATCTGGCCTCTGCTCTTCCTAGCCACGGCCTTCCGGCAGGTGGCTGGACCTGCCATCCTGTGAGGATGGGACTTAGGTCTCCCCTTTTGGGAAGAGCGTGAGTTCTATTTTTTTCCTAGCTTTATTGAAATGCAATTTAAATATAACATTGTGTAAGTTTAAGGTGTCTAATGTGTTGATTTGATACACTTATATATTGCAAAATGATGACCACCACAGTGTTGGCTAACACCTGCATCACATCATATTATTACCATTTCTTTTTTGTGGTGAGAACATTTAACATCTACTCTCCTAGCAACTGTCAGGTATATAATACAGTATTATTAACTATAATCACTATGTTGTACATTAAGTCCCCAGAACTTATTCATCTTATAACTGGAAGATTGTGATCTTTGACCAAAATCTCCTCATTTCCCCCACCCTCCAGCCCCTGGTAATCACCATACCAGTCTTTGTTTCTAAGAGTTCAGCTTTTTTAGATTCCATATGTAAGTGATACCGTATAGTATTTGTCTTTATCTGTCTGATTTATTTCACTTTTACCATAATGCCCTCAAGGTCCATCCATGTTGTCTCGAACTGCAAGATGTCCTTCATTCTCATTGCTAAATAATAACCCACTTTGAGCCACATAACGATGGTTCAGTCAAAGACTAATTGCATAGACAGTGGTCCCATTAACATTAGTACCATATAGCCTAGATGTGTAGTAGACTACACCATCTAGGTTTGTGTAAGTACACTCTATGATGTTTGCACAATGACAAAATCACCTAACGATGTATTTCACAGAACGTATCCCCTTCGTTAAGGGACGCATGACTGTATATATACATACCTAGGTATATATGCCACATCCTCTTTATCCATTCATCTGTTGATGAACACTTAAATTGTTTCCACATCTTGGCTATTGTGAATAATACTGCAATGAATGTGGGAGTGCAGATATTTCTTCGAGATCCAGTTTTCATTTCCTTTGGCTATATACCCAGAAGTGGGATTGCTGGATCATATGGTAGTTCTGTTTTTAATCTTTTGAGGAACCTCCATACTGTTGTCCGTAATGACTTCACCATTTTACATTCCCACCAAAAGTGCACAAATGTTCCAATTTCTCTGCATCCTCACCAGCACTTGTTATTTTCTCTTTTGTTGATAGTGGGTCTGAAGTGATATCTCACTGTGTTTTTGATTTGAATTTCTCTGTTGATTAGCGATGTTGAGCACCTTTTCATATGCTTGCTAGCCATTTGTATATCTTCTTTGGAGAAATGTCTATTCAGGCCCTTTGCTCATTATTTTGTTGTGGTTGTTGAATTGTAGGAGTTCTTTATATATTCTGGATATTAACCCCTTGTCAGAAATATGATTTGCAAATATTTTCTCCCATTCCATAGGTTGCCTTTTAACTCTGTTGATTGTTTCTTTTGATATACAGAAGCTCTTTAATTTGATGTAGTCCCATTTGTTTATTTTTTCTTTTGGTGTCAAATCCAAAAAAATCATTGCCAGGACTGATGTCAAGGAGTTTACTCACTATGTCTTCTACTAGGAGTTTTACAGTTTTAGGTCTCATGTTCAAGTCTTTAATCCACTTTGAGTTGATTTTTGTGTATGGTCTAAAATTTTTGGTATGGATCCAGTTTCATGCTCTTGCTTGTGGCTATCCAGTTTTCCAAATACTATTCATTGAAGAGACTGTCCTTTCCCCATTGTATAATCTTGGCTCCTTCGTCATAAATTAATTGACCATATATGCATGGATTCATTTCAGGCTTTCCATTCTGTTCCATTGATCTATGAGACTGTTTTTATGCCAATACCACACTGTTTTAATTACTGTACCTTTGTAATAGAGTTTGAAATCACAGAGTTGGATGCCTCCTTCTTTCTTAAGATTTCTTTGGCTATCTGAGGTCATTTGTGGTTCCATACAAATTTTAGGACTGGTTTTTCTATTTCTGTGAAAAATGCCATTGGAATTTTGATAGGGATTGCATTGAATCTGTAAATCACTTTGGATAATACGTGTCTTCTTCAATTTCTTTCATCAATCTCTCTTTAGTGTACAGATCTTTCACCTCTTTCATTAAACTTATTCCTAAGATATTTTTTTGATGCTATTATAAATGGGATTGTTTTCTTAATTCCTCTTTCTGATAGTTCATTTTTAGAGTAGAGAAATACAACTGATTTTTGTATATTGATTTTGTATCCTGCAACTTTACTGAATTTGTTGATTAGTTATAATAGTTTTTTTTTTTGGTGGAGTCTTTAGGGTTTTCTATATACTATTAGATATAGATATTATATATATTTTATATATATATATCATGCCATCTGCAAATAGAGACAATTTAACTTCTTCCTTTCTGATTTGGATGCCTTTTATTTCTTTTTCTTGCTTAATTGCTCTGACTTCCAATACTACATTGAATGAGAGTGGCAAGAGTGGGCATCCTTGTCTTGTTCCTGATCTTAGAGGAAAAGCTTTCATTTTTTCACTGTTGAGGATGATGTTAGCTGTGGGTTTGTCATATGTGGCCTTTATTATGTTGAGGTACGTTCCCTCTATACCCACTTTGTTGAGAGTTTTTATCATGAATGCATGTTGAATTTTGTCAACTGCTTTTTCTGCATCTACTAAGATAATCATATGATTTTTATCCTTAATTTTGTTAATGTGGTATATCACATTGATTTGTGGATGTTGAAACATCGTTGCATCCTTGGAATAAATCCCACTTAATCATGGTGTATGATCCTTTTAATGTATTGTTGAATTCAGTTTGCTAATATTTTGTTGAAGATTTTGCATCACTGTTCATCAGGGATATTGGCCTATAATTTTCTTTTCTTGTGGTGTCCTTGTCTGGCTTTGGTATCATAGTAATGCTGGCCTCGTAAAATGAGTTTGGAAGACTTGTAGCCTCTTCATTTTTTTTTTTTTTTTTGGAAGAGTTTGAGAAGGATTCATATTAATTCTTTATATGTTTGGTAGCATTTACCAGTGAAGCCATCTGGTCCTGGACTTTTATTTGTTGAGAGGTATTTGATTACTGATTCAATCTCCTTCCTAGTTATTGGTCTGCTCAGATTTTCTGTTTCTTCATGATTCAGTCTTGGTAGTTGTATGTTTTTAGGAATTTATCCATTTCTTCTAGGTTGTCCAATTTGTTGGCATATAATTATTCATAATAGTCTCTTATGATCCTTTGTATTTGTGTGGTATCAGTTGTAATGTCTCCTTTCATTTCTAATTTTATTTATTTGAGTTCTCTCTCTTTTTTTCTTGGTAAATCTAGCTAAAAGTGTATATATTTTGTTTATCTTTTCAAAAACCAGCTCTTAGTTTCATTTATCTTTTCTATTGTCTTTTTAGTCTCTATTTCATCTATTTCTTCTCTGATCTTTGTTATTTTCCTCCTTCTGCTAACTTTGGGCTTTGTTTGTTCTTCTTTATCTAGTTCCTTGAGGTGTAAAATTAGGTTGTTTATTTGAGGTCTTTCTTTTTCTTAATATAGGCATTTATCACTATAAAAGTCCCTCTTAACTGCTTTTGCTGCATCTCCCAAATTTGGATATGTTGTATTTTCATTTTCATTTGTCTCAAAATATTTCTTGATTTCTCTTTTGATTTCTTCTTCGACTCATTGGTTGTTTAGGAGCATGTTGTTTAATCTCCACATATTTGTGAATTTTCCATTTTTCTTCTTGTAATTGATTTCTACTTTCATTATGGTCAGAAAAGATGCTTGATTTGATTTCAATCTTCTTAAATTTATTAAGACTTGTTTTGTGTCCTAACATATGATCTATTCTAAAGAATGTTCCAAGTACACTTGAGAAGAATGTGTATTCTGTTGCCGTTGGATGGAATATTTTGTAAAAGTTTGTTAAGTCCACCTAGTCTAATGTGTAGTTTAGTTCCAATGTTTCTGCATTGATTTTCTGTCTGGATGATCTAGCCATTGTTGAAAGTGGGGCACTGAAGTCCCCTGCTATTATTGTATTGCTGTCTTTTTCTCCCTTCAGGTCAGTTAATATTTTCTTTATATATTTAGGTGCTCATAGGCGTATAAATATTTACAAATGTTATATCCTCTTGATGAGTTGATGCTTTATCATACACAATGACCTTATTTGTCTCTTCTTACAGTTGTTGGCTTAAAGTCCATTTTGTCTGATATAAGTATGGCTACTCCTGCTTTCTTTTGGCTTCCATTTGTGTAGAATATCTCTTTCCATCCCTTCACTTTCAGTCTGTTTGTGTCCTTAAAGTTGAAGTAAGTCTCTTTTGGGTAGTATATATTGGGTCTTGTTTTTTTTATCCATTCAGCTACTCGATGTATTTTGATTGGACAATTTAGTCCATGTGCATTTAAAGTAATTATTGATAGGTATGGACTTATTAGTGCCATTTTGTTAAGAGTTTTCTGGTGTTTTGTGACTCCTTTCTTCCTTTCTTGTTCTCTCCCTTTGTGATTTGATGATTTTGTGTACAGTATGCTTAGATTTCTTTCTCTTTATCTTTCATATGTCTACTATAGGTTTTTGCTTTGTGGTTATAATGGAGCTTATGTAAAACATCTTTTATTTATAACAGTCAATTTTAAATTGATAACAACTTAGCTTCAAATGTATACAGAAGCTCTACATCTGTACATTCCCCTTCACACACATTTTATGTTTTTGATGTCACAATTTACATCTTTTTACATTGTGAATCATTAACAAATTATTGTGGTTATAGTTATTTTAATAGTTTTATCTCTTAATCTCCATACTGGAAATATTAGGGATTTACACACTACCATTACAACATTAAAGTATTCTGAATTTAACTATATATTTAACTTACCAGTGAGTTTCATACTTTGATATGCTTTCCTGTTACAAATTAGCACCTTTCATTTCACCTTGAAGAACTCCCTTTAACATGTCTTGTAAGGCCAGTCTAGTGATGATGAACTCCTTCAGCTTTTTCATGTCTAGAAATTCTTTATCTTGCCTTCAATTCTGAAGGACAACTTTGCTGTGTAGAATAACCTTCATTGGCAGTTTTTTTTTTTTTCTTTCAGCACTTTGAATATATCATGACACTCCCTTCTGGATTGCAAAGACTCTGCTAAAAAATTTGCTGATAGTCTTATGGGAATTCCCTTGTATGTAACAAGTTGCTTTTCTCTTGCTGCTTTTAATATTCTTTCTTTGTCTTTAACTTTTGACAGTTTAATTATAATGTGTCTCTATGTGGGTCTCTTTGGATTCATTTTATTTGCAACTTCCTGGGCTTCCTGGATCTGGATATCTGTTTATTTCCCCAGGTTAGGGAAGTTTTCAGCCATTATTTATTTGACTAAGCATTCTGCCCCTTTCTCTCTCTCTCTTCTTCTTCTGGGACTCCTATAATACATATAATGGTCCCCTTGATTATGTCCTATAAGTCCCTTAAGCTATCTTCACTCTTTTTTATTCTTTTTTCTTTTTAACTCCTCTGATTGGATGAATTCCACTGCCCTGTCTTTGAGTTCACTGTTCCTTTCTTACACCTGAACTAGTCGGTTGTTGAACTCCTCTATTATATATTTCATTTCAGTTATTATATTCTCCAGCTCTGTAATTCTGTTTGGTACTTTTTTATATTTTCTATCTCTTTGTTGAAATTCTCATTTTGTTCTTGCACGGTTCTCCTGACCTTGGTAAATATGTTCGTAACTGTTATTTTGAACTCTCTGTCATGCAAATCACTTATCTCCATTTCATTAAGGTCTATTTCTAGAGTTTACCTTTTTTGTTTGTTTGTTTGGCACATGTTTCTCTGTTTCTTAATTTTCCTTGATTCTTTGTGTTGGTTTCTGCATGTTTGATAAAACACCCCCCTCCCCCGGCCTTGACAGGGTGGTCTCATGTAGGAGATGAACCTTGTCAATCAGCCCAGCCTGAGTTTTTATTTGTTCCTCAAGCCTTTGTGATTGTCCAAGCCATCTTCTCTGTTCTTGGTGCCTCCCAGTAGTTGATGGTGTGCCAAGATCTGTCAGTGTCCCAAAGAGGAGGACCACAGTCAGCATTTAGATGCAGGTTGATTGGAAGCCAGACCATCAGATAGCAGCTGGGAAAATATGTAGTTAGGGCCCCTCCAGGGAGAGACTGGGAGATGAACACTTTTGCCTGCTCCCTCTGCACTGGCCCTGGGTGTACAGCAGTGGGGAGATGCTCCTGTGCCCATTAAGAACTGCTTGTTTGTTTGCTACAGTCCTGTGGGACTCATGAATGCAAGCCTCATTGGCTATCAGAGCCAGGCAATCCAGGAACCAATCCCTCAGGTGGCAGGCACTACAGTTGGGGTGCCTATGTGTATACAAGCTCCTTCTAGGGAAATACTGCCAATTTGGAGTGAGCTAGAGGGAGAAGGCTGAGGAGGCATCCACTGGCTTCCCTAGTCTCTAAGCAGGATGGCAGTCAGCTCCTAGATGTGTGCTAAATTAGAAGCCTGACCTTCAGGCAGCAGCTTTTAATGTATGCAAATAGGCCCTTTTCAGGGAAAGACTGGGAGGTGGGCATTTCTGTCTGCTCCCTCTGCACTGAGCCCTGAGGGGATAGCCACAGTGAGTCCTCTAGAGCCAGTTAAGAATTGTTTCTTTGTCTGCTATAGTCTTGTGGGTCTCATGGACACAAGACTCATTGACTTTCAGATCTAGGTGTTTGGGGGGCCTATCCCTCACTTGAGAGTCTTAAAAGTTGGGGTGCTTGATGTGGAGTCCAAACGTTTTGCTCCTCAGGGAGAAGCTGGGAGTTCCCACCTGATTGTACGGCACTGTGCCAGGGGTGGGATTTATGGCTAGAGTGTGTTCCAGACTTTTCTACCTGTTTCAATATGGGTATTTGCTCATTTGCCTGATGTGTAGGAGTCATTCCGCTGGTTTCTGGATTTCTTTCCAATGGAATTGCTCTGCAGTAACTATGCATTCAGTGTGTCCATGGGAGAAGGGGAGTTCCAGGAGCCTCATATGTCACCGTCTTGGACTGGAACCCAGAGTGAATTCTATTTTTTATTGCATGATGAATTATTGATGTTTGAAAGTTTAAATATGGGAAGAAGGGAGTATATTAGAGTTGAGTAACCAAAGGGGAGGACTATAACGTGCACTGTGAATTGAGTCAACCAGTGTCCATGCCAACATCCTTTTCATGTCCTTTCATGTATTCCCGGAGCTAGGAAACTAGCAGATTTTTACTGCGTTTCCCCAATTCTCTTGCATGTGGAGCTCTATAGTGATTTAGGTTCTACTATTTGGAAACATTAATGCAAGATTAGGAAGGTTTGTTTTTAATACATCTGCTTGTCAACAACATGATGGAGGCATTTGTTTTTTCTGTGTAAGCATGTCTGTTTACTGGCTTTGTGGGGTATTAAGAAGCATTGTGAAGAGTACCTATTTTGCTGGTGTGGATTACACCAGGCACAGCATGGTTTTGGAACAAGCAGCACTAACAGCAGCTTTCTACTCATGAAAGTTTCCTAATTGTGCCAACTACCTGTTGGATAGCTTCCTGATCATGGCAGGTGATATGGCTCTGGAGCTGGCAACTGTGGCCACCGTTTCCCAACATGGTTGATGTGTGCTGACTTAGAGAAGAGGCAATAGCAGGGTGGCTTTGGGCAGTGCTCTTCAAAGACCAGTCTGGAATCTGTTTCTTCAGTCTTCCCAAAGAGTCTGTAAACCACATAATATCCTGTCATAAATCCCTTTCTGCTTAAACTAACTAGATTGAATTATGTTGTCTGCAAGTGAACCTGGGTAATACACCATGTAACCCTCTTTGCTATTCCTTTTCCTATCTATCCTTTTTTTCATTAAACCAAGTCACTACAGATGGATCTAGAATATATTATTCATTCTCCTTGGCCAAACCACAGGCTTTCCCTTTTTAAAAACGCAACTTGAGATTTACCCTCCATGAAGCCATTTTAGATGAATTCAAAAACACATCCCGTTTCCTCTGAAACTGTAACTTAGACACTTAGTAATGGCTCTTTGGAGACTCTAGGAACATTAATCAGTTTCAGAACCAGCGTCAGGATACTTCCCGTGGGAAGCATTTTTCACATAAAGTAAAAAAGTACTTTGACCCCAGCAGGGCAGAGGAGGACGTAAAAGAAAAGCTAGAGTTTAAGGCTGGGATGGCAAAAGATGTAAAAACTTATTCTGCTAGTCTTTTAAGCTAATTCTCTTCAACTTTTCTTATCTCTCTCCTTCCCTCAACACTTGGCAATTGGCAGCAAAACTAGATGGCAGTTAATCATGCCAAGGACGATATTCTTTCAGGAAAAAAATCTACAAGCAAAGCATCTCCACCTTTCAGGAGGCCCTGGAACCCAGAGCCACCTCCTGTGTGCGCCTGAGCTTTCTCCAAATTGCGGGAGCTGAGTGCTGAGTGGAGGCAGGAAGAGCTCCCTGGCTGGCACACAACGCCTCCTAGAGATGGGTCCTGGCACTGCTTCCTGCTTTCCCATGCAGGTCTCTGTTCCATTTCTCAGCTATAGACTTTTCATTTGGTCCAGAGCAGTGGCACATAAGGATGCAGAAACAAACTCACTGACAGTTTCAAAGAGAAACTTTCAAAGGAAAACTAAATGAAGAGAAGTCATTCCAACAAATACGTGAGAAACAATTAGAAAATGTGTAAATTGTATTTCTCTTTAACTGTGATTCCCAAAATCACTGCTTTTTTTTCTTATAACCTGTTGCTGCCTCACTCAGAAATGGTGTCACAACCCTTCAATTAACCATATCATCAGATTTTGGCAGCATCACTACACAATTTAGAAAATTAAAAGAGATAATAATTGGCAATTAACGTCATCTACATTTTGATATATTTTACAAAACTAAAGAAAAATGCAAAGCAAACTGGTTAGTTAAGCCTATGTGTTCATGTGTCATTTTCAAAACTCAATATTCCTTGAATAATAAAACCAACACTTTTTCTAGCAACTTAAGAGGTAATGGTATGAAGTGTCACTGAATCAACATTTAGGATCCAGAACTAAAATTTAATTCATAGAGATTCCTTAATTGACAAGTTGGCTTCTTACAAAGGATATCAACCTGCTCCTACTTTAATTACTCTTTCCTTTAATAAGTTGATTGTGTTACGTACCTTTTTGTTCACACACATATAAAATGCTGGCCTCACCAGGAATCAACCAGATATTAAAAGAATTTAAACATATTTTGTCCACAAATGATGAAAGCTGCCTTTTTGGACATTCTAAGCACTTTTTTCATTTGCCATCTGTCATGTTATAAACATTGAGGAGTAGAAAGGCTCTAGAGAAACTTTGCTTGAAGATTCCCAAGAAAAGTTCCCAACTACATGGAAATGCCGACAAGCCTTATAAACTTGGGATATCACAGGAATTGACCATCCTGAGGTATATGCTCTTACAAGACATAAAACCAGATGATGGGCGCCTAGAAAACCAATAGTGGGCCGGCCCCATGGCTTAGCGGTTAAGTGCTCGCACTCTGATGCTGGTGGCCCGGGTTCGGATCCCAGGTGCTCACCGACGCACCGCTTCTCTGGCCATGCTGAGGCCGTGTCCCACATACAGCAACTAGAAGGATGTGCAACTATAACATACAACTATCTACTGGGGCTTTGGGGGAAAAATAAATAAATAAAATTATTAAAAAAAAAAAAAAGAAAGAAAACCAATAGCTTCCTACTCCTTCTGTAACTTCATCTTAAAAAAAAAAAAAAAAACAAAGACAATTCCTGAAAACCCTTTAAAATTTATGCATAATTTTATGTAAATGTCACACATGATCAGGCAGAGGTGCTCCCAGTTATGTTTACTTAAATGCAAAGATCCAGATACATTTTTTTGTGTCCTCTTTTTAAAAAACTTTGTTCCCTTTATTAAAAATAAAATTTGGTAACAAACACAAGCACATGTTACTAAAAGTGTCTTAACTACTTCCGAAAATGTGTGAGCACATAGATGTTTGAAATCCCTTCTTTTCAACATTTTCAGAGACAAACTTTTAATTTCCTGCTCTGAAACATGTGGCATATCGTTTTAAGCAAAAGCCTGCTTTGATGGGCTTTCAGGCTTGGTGTGGCTGTTCGGTGCTAAAGAACGTTCAGGTCTTGGATTTCTCACTTCTTGCACAGGAGACTAGACACAGCAGCACCACGCATAGTAATCACTTGCTTTTCACCCAGGTAATAAACAAGAGAACAGCGGCCATGTCTTCCATATTCTCTGTAACTGTCCTTGGTGCCTGTATTATCTTTACTATGCACACGGGCACCCCAGGAATTGACCGTGAGAGGCAGTATTTGCAGGGCGCGTTCCACATGCCAGGCAGGCGTTATCACCTGGAGTCTCGCACAGCGTTCCTGGGAGGTAGGGACTGTTATTTTCCCCCTTTTCCTCCTGAGCACCTGAGGCTTGAAGATGATGAGGTAAAGCAGCCCAGGGTTCAACCCAGGACTGTCTGGTGCCAGCACCCTTGTGCTTAGCCATCATATTTGTTTCCTTTTGATAACCACCTTTACTTAATTAATTGGCCACATTATTCTTCCAACAAGGCTATATGCAATCAGCATTTGATATGTGAAATAAGAATGACAGCTACCAAGCCAAATAAGGCCAACATGCTAAAATAAAAGAGTTTTTAACATTTAGTTCATACTCAAGATTTTCTATAGTGCTTTTGCTCTAAAGAGCTCTACAATTAACTTATAAATTAAGGCTATGTATCAACTTAACTTTTAATCAAACATTTCAGCATTTATTTGATTATTTCAGGTCAAATTATCTAAATGTATCATGAATATTTAAACTTCCCCTGCAAATGAAAAACTGAAGCTACTTAATTTTACACTTGAAAGATTTAAGCTTATGCCATATAATAAAAAGATTTCCCAGGCCTAGGCAATACTGCCAAGAAAATTAAGCTTTCCTTTCTCCACCATGAGCATTTATTTAAAAAAAAAAAAAAAAAAAAGACCCACTAAACTCTGAAGGAAAAAATAGGTTAAAAAGAATAGAAGAGAAAAACGTCTTAGGGGAGGGAAGTCAAGATGGCGGCGTAAGCAGACTCGGAGCTCACCTCCTCCCGCGGACACAGCCAATTTACAACTACTCATGGAAAAATTACCCCTGAGACAGAACTGAAAACTGGATAAGAGGAAGTCCTGCAACAACGGACAATCCTAACTGAGGTGGAAGAGGCAGAGACTCCCTTCTGGAGAGGAAAAACGCCGCCTTCACAAGCCGCCAGCTTCA